GCGGGGCGCGCAAGCATTTTTTCCCCAAAAAAAAGGTTCCCCCCCCCCCATTTAATACCCAAGACGTTGGCCGCCTCTATACAGCCGTTGTGAGTACGCGAAGAAGATTAGGAGAGATAACGCGGGGATTAGGGCGAAAGAGAGAAGACGAAGAGAGAACAGTTCAGAAGGATAATGATGTCGAGTCTGTCCCTCTTACTCTTGAGTACCTCAGTTCGCCGGTGCTCGTGCAACAAAAAAGGGGATAAAGCCTTTACGCGTGTAATATAACACAACGAGTTGTGAGTAGCGGAAAGAAAGGAGTGAGCTTTTAAGATCCATTCGCGCCGGTTTAGCCACTTCGTCTCTTACATCGTATTATTTCGCTACTCGCGCGTACACATACGTGAACCTGCTCCTTTATACATGCGGTTATGGTCATTCTTTTTTTTGTCCCGTCTCCTTGCCAGCCACGTCGACCTCGGTTGAGAATACAATTGAAGTCAAGAACCGGAGAGGAAAAAGACCGAAAAATTATTATCGTATTCTTATTTTGTCGTTACTTTTTCGTTATTGCAATTGCTTCTGATGCAAAGTTCGTATTAAATAAATAATTTATCAGAAATTGTTGACGAAATAATCAATAATCCAAATTAATAAAATTCACTGGTAACGTAATTTTTTGCCTCAGAAAGAGAAAACGAGGCTCTAGAAAATCGTAAATTAAAACGTCGAGTTTACGATAAGCTATCACTGCGCACCTTCTCGACATCTACTATCGATAAAAGCAACACTTGGCAATTTTCGACCAACATTTCTCCACTCATCCAGACAGTATAGGCTTAACCGACTGTAAAGCTCATGCTCTCATTCAATGTCAGGCAGATCAGCAAAATAGTCTCTTTGTTTTTCTTTCTCTCGTTCCCAAATTTTTTCCCCTATTATATATTACTTGCGATGCTTTGTTTCGCGTGCATGACGATCCACCTATATGCCAACACTTTATAAACTCACTCGGCAAAGTAACGAGGGTTTTATGCACCGAGAAGTACTGCCATTATTGTGTAGCGAACTCAAATTATTGGTTTATTCCAGCTCTCTCTCTCTCTCTCTCTCCCTCTCTCTGCCTCACTCTGCCTCTCTCTCCCTTTTAGGTCATTTTGACATTTTCCTCGAAAATGTTTGCACGAGAATATCGCTTTACAAAGATATGAGATTACCTTCATTAATTTAAATATTTTTTGTCCTTTCTAATATAGTTTTGTAAAAAATTAACATTCCAAATAATTCAAGAGTTCTAAAAACGTCATTATCTTACTCATTGTTATAACGTATATTTAGCCTAATCTATATTTACTAAAAAAAAAAGTATTAAAAATATATATTTAAGTTAGTACACAGCTTATTGATTATTTGATGCGAGATATTATTTTTTCTCTTAATTTTATTTTCAGTATTCCTTTAAGCTGCGTGTATGTTAGATAAAAATATATTAAAACATTATTCGTATGATTCGATATAATGACTGCCTTTTTAAAATCATTAAATGAAAAGTAAGGTTTGTTTAAAATAACCACTAATGCTGCAATAATAATTTAGCGAAGCAAAACTGTTTATTCGCAGGTACAAACGAGAGGCTATAGATTTTCGTGCAGATGCCTCCTTGATCTCAAGCTCATTCTTTCCAAAGGACTTCTTTATTACTTTTCCCCCTTTCTGCTTTTTATAACATACTCTCGTGTATGGGTTTATTCTTTGACATCGTTCTACAATAGCCACTTCTTAACCGCATGAAATACTCATAGATATGTAATGAATAAGAAAGAAAAACGGTCTATGAATGACACGTAGAATAAAGACAAAAAAATGAATTGTGATACTCACATGCCTCTCCTCAGATGGATTCAGACCTGTAACATAAAAGAAAAAACAGATTTAGCTCGTTTCCTAGATGCCAGTAACAAATGTTCATATACATGAGTGTATGCATGCACAGATATATTCAAATACAGACGTGTGTCTATGTACAATAGTAAGAGGGAAGAGAAGAGAATTGCACATCGATCCTCTTTTAATGATTATTCGGGCGCGAGAATATATATAGGCACTTAAATCTCTACAATGAAAGCAATGCTTGAAAGAAACACTTATGTGCTCATACGCATATCATACACATGTGGCTGAAATCTTTGCAGAAAAATATAAGAGGACAAAATTTTTAGAAAAGATGATATAATGTTGGGAAAGTTGTCGCAACTGTTACGTACAAAGAAAATATATAGTTTGCGAAATATACTTTAAAACGTTATTTTTGTTGGTTTAAAAAGTTAGATACTTTACATCAGAGGTTTACAATGAAATAGAGTCGAGACTAAAGTATTTTATTTTTGCAGTCGTATACAATTTTAGTTTCAGTATAAATTAATTTATTTTAAGGGATGACAAGTGTTCTCATTTATTATAACGTAGGTGTGAAAGTAATTATTATTCATAATCATTTATTGACCAACAATATTCTTCTTCCTAATGTACATAAATATTTTTTTTTTCATGTAGATTGACATGTGGAAAATCTAAATAGATATAAGCGAGATGCGAATAGTACTTAATAAGACTGCTAATAGGATGGTAAGTAGTGCATGCAACATAAAAACATTTATTTAAATATATTTATGATAATCGAAACGAGATTAATTGTGATAATACTTGAGATTAAATGGAGAAGACCTACTTTGTAAATTTTTGAAGAAAGATTATATTCCCGTAATCTCTCCCGTCTACAAAAATGACAAAAGTTCGTAATAAACTTAAGTAAAGCATAATGTCTTTTAAAATAAACTGCAACGACACGTTGACGGTCAGTCAGCAATTAAATAAGTCTGTCAAAAACAATACTCCGGTACATTAATCAGATCATTGTAATTTCGAGTATTAATCGCTTATGAGTTAGTCGATAGACCTTCGTATCCCCTTAAGGCTGAAAAAGTGTGTCTCCCAAAACATTACCATAGACAGCAACAAAAGCTACCTCCATACATACGTTTCTGGGGTGGGTGCGTTTAAAGGACTGGAGCTTGAGACGCAAGTCGAGAAGGTCGATAGGGATAAAACAGGGAAAAGGCGTTTGGCACGAGTGAAAAGAGGTAGCAGAGCAAGGATCGTCTGCTAAAGGATAAAGACAGCCGTGGCAGTGCGCATTCAGTCGACTGAAAAGAAGCCACCCACATGCACAATATGTACACTAAAGCTCGAAAAGGGCTGGCCTTGCTGCAAGTTTGGCCTAAAGTACGCTGAGCCTTCCGATTCCCGTGTACACAGACGACCCGAGGGGTGGCTGTCTGTAATAATCGGGAAATATGAGAAAATTCTTCCCCAACGACGACGTCGACGCCGACAACGACAATATTTCTTCTCCCCTCCTCTCTCTCTCACTCTTTCTCCGTCTACCCTCTCTCCATCACTCGGTCGGTCGCTCGCCCTCTTTCCAACCCTTCCCCCTCTCTCTTCTCACTCTCTCTTATTTGAAACGACAGCCTCATAACTCTGCGGTATAGAATGATCGGAGTTTTCGAGAAATGAGAGTTGGATATATACGTAAATATTATATTTATGCCGGGGGATCTATGTTTGTTCGAAAGAGAGAAAAATAAGTTTGACAAATAAAGATGGCTATTTCGAAAGGGTGAGTGGAAGATTGACAGGGAGGGAATGAGAATGAATGTGAGGATTAGGATGATGATGCAAATGCATCATGTATGAAATGAAGAATATATAGAGAATAGAAAAATTAAGGTAAATTGTATAGTTTATTATTGGGGAGAATTAAATTATTTTAAATAATCAGTTAGTTTTAAAATTGATTGTCGATAAACTTCAAATTTATTACATTAAAATAATGATAGTTGTATTCTTCAATATTTAAGCATTAAACATTAGAATGCAGTAGTAAAACAGGTGCCACATGAGAATAATGATTCGTAATATATAATTGTTTAAATAAAAGATAAAATATAGCATAATATGATAATACAAATGAATATGCTATTCGTAACTGCTGTGTAATCAATAAATATTTGAACGGTGTTTTCACATTGTCGTGCAAAATATGATGCAAATAAAAAGTACTCTTTGTGAAAAAACGTCCAACGTATTTTTTCATATTATAAAAAATAAAAGGATCAGGCTAGGAATGACATTATAAATATTTTGTCATAAAGATTTATGGTGGTATTCGCGGAACGGTTAAAGTAATCTTTGCGTAATACGAGAGCAGCCAGAGAACATTTTGCAAAATTACACCATGTAATTCATTGATTGATAAAGAAAATAAAAGTCACTGTCCACAATAATATGTCGGAAGTGTACAGGTGCGGGTCAGAAGCGCGGGTCATCATCTCGTCATCCCGTGCATCCAGGGCGTATATTTACTGACACCCTTTGCAGCCTGTAACCACGCCCCCTTCTTTTACCCCCTTGGCGTATAACACTTGTCACCCCTTCTCTGATGGTCCCCGTATTGACACGCCCTCGCGATACACAGGCCCTTTGTTCACACAGGGTGTGGTGCCTAACTTTTTCTACTTGTCAGGATTGAGACGTCGCTCGAGAGACTAGCCCCTGATTGCTTTTGGTGGTTGAATTGTTACTCATCTTGTTCACCGAGATTGTAATTAGGACGGCTTACCATTGATTAAACACGACTACAAATTGAATGGCCAGATGTTATACAGTATGTATACATATTGGCTGAAGTTTTTTACAAGCTGATTGTCGTGAATGGAAGCTCGAGAAAAATGTATTTTTTATCTATCGGAAGATCGGAAGGAATGGAATTGGGCGCAGAAGTGCAGAAAGGAAACGTCATTTCGGAAAAATGCGGAGAAAAATTGATGCGATTGCATCTTAATAAAATGCCATTGTTAGTGGGCACGTGAGCAAGAGTTTGGGGAACCGACTGAAAAAGTTCCAACGAAGCGAGGGATGTTTACTGAATTTCGCAAAAGTTGAAAAACGACTTCCGCGGAATGGAATTTGAAGGGGAGAGGGAAGATGGTAGTAAAGAGGAGAAGAGAAGCGAAAGAGTTACCAAGATCACTATATTATCCGGAAAAGAAAATCACCGGCTCAAGCAGTGCAGTGAGAAAGAAATATATGTTGAGCCCGTGAAATCGGACGACTTTGGCGCGCGCGCGCGCGCGTCGGGCAACATAAAGTAACTCTGGAGCTCTCTCCCGTTTTTCATCCTCGTTCGATCTCACTCCGACAATCGAATCCACGCCTCTGCAATTCCGTTTCTTGGAAAGTCTTGCGCAAAATGCCACTATGCACACTGTACTTCTTTTCTTTCTACTAGTCGCTTTACTCTCTCCCGGGTTTTTCAAATACGTCTTTCCCCATTTACTTGAAACTCGCTGTTTCTTACGAAGCATCTTTTTATTTATTTATACCAATGGCAAGCTTAAAACAGAATACAAAATTGTTGTACTGTTAAAGCAGTAAATTTTTCCGAGCTTATGCCGAACTGAACTTTATTAGAGACATATTTTACTTTATACCACTCACCCCTCCCCCTACCGCCATTACTCATATTAGCAAAACGACGAAAATATCAGTATTATGATATTCTCGATCGTAAAAGGGAAAAAATTACTACTTATAGCAACCATTTACTCGTAATAACTTTAACTATCGTAGTCATTATTGTATATTATTCCGATTATTGTTTATATACGGTCAATAATATCGTATATGACGACATTGTTTTTCTTTTTATAATACGCACTCAAAATAATACAGATCACTTACAAATGGCACATCATTTTTCCACTTCATTTTTAGAATATTTCTTCTAGGCCAATTGGATATTTAAACGTGAATATGGGAGAAAAAAGCAGCTTAAATATTGCCCATTCGGAATAGCGCCAACTATCGACAACGGGAAGGAAAAGCCCCAACATAAAAATCAATCGATCAACCAATCTTTAACTCGTTTCTCTCCTACACCTCCTCCTGTTTTCGCGCTTTCCATCTTCCTATCTCGCTCTCTCCTTCTTTGTGTTCTTCCTTGTCCTCCCTCCGTCATAAAATATCCTCTTTTAACTCAGCTCCACCCTCCACATCGCCGCCGGCATGCTTCGCTCCTCGGGCAGTTACTACCGTGGCCCCTCGCTCACCCTCTGCCTTGTTCCCGACCCACCGAGTTCGCGCACGGACGACCTCGTAAACGGACAAGCTAGAGCTCGCGCATAATTCTCCACTAAAACGCAAAGAGGTCGTTTCGGCCCACAGATAGCTTGCTCGGCGCGGCGCACGAGGATACGAGCGAGGGTCGAGGGGTTGAGCGACGGAGGGATATATCAACTGTCTATTTGGGAAATTGAAATAAGGTTGGCTTTTATGTGGCGGTGGTGGGTATATGACAAATACTAACCGTTATACGCTGGTAGGGCAGCGCGTTTACGTCGTCGGTCGAACACCCCCCTCCCGGCCTCGCCAGCACCACACCGTCACCGCCCACTCTCACTTCTTTTTCTGGGTAAGTGCACGAGTTCATGCGTGAGTGCGCCCCGACACTTATATGCTTTTACTTTAGACGTGGCGACATCGTTGATACGTGTGCCCGCGCCCCTTCGGCGAATTGGAGAAGTCGAGACAACGACTTTCCGGAGATATTTATTCCTGGCCACGCGGTGATTATCTCTTTCCAATGGACTCTTTCCATGTAAATTAACAATGTTAAGCCAACATTAGGGAATTAAAATTGGACTTTGTTATTTACTTGAGTATAGATAAAATGTTGCTTGCCAAATGCTCATTTAAGCCAATGATTGTTTGTCATTGCGTTCCTTGTATCGACGAATTGAAAATTTATTTTGAAAAGTTAAAAATCCGTAACTGATTTTAGAAAATAAATTTATACATTAGCGTATAAGGGAAGTGTCAATCAATTTTATGCTTCTAGATTCATAATATAATGACAGACGAACGTCTATTATTAGATTCAATGGATAATATCTGTTACATTGAAGATCTGTAAAAAATTTAAGGCAAATGCAACCTTATAATAGATTATTATTAGTAGAAATTGAGCTTTTAAGCATAAAATATTGCTGAATTTGTTGGCTGGTATCATCAAACGCAGTCACCGCCTATTACTTACTAATGCGCAACGCTTAATTTCATTATTTTTCTCGAAAAGTAAGGCACGACTTTATGGTTAATATATTTATTAGCAGACAGTTGAACGACTGTAGCTGGCGTACATAATGGCATTATTAAGTCTTCCATATAAGAAGCAAAAATTAATCGCTTACATGATCCGTGAAAGTGGTTGTAATAACTGTGGCGATGAGTATCATCAGCAAATGATACTTTGCCGCTCTCAACAATTTAACAACGCTAATTTTAACATTTCGTAACGATTATTCGTTTTAACCAACATAAATCCTGAAAATCAACGTGTATTCACTGCCAAAACAAATCTACCGTCCTTGCGAGCTCAAAACTGCACGGTCCTCGAATATCAAAGAGACGAGCAAAAGGTCGGTCTCGTTAAAACCTCATTAAAATGCAAAGGGCATCGCAGCGCGAAATATCTCGGAGCCTCGAAAAGTCGGGCGCACCAACGTTCCAGGAAGTTTAATCTACTCTTACAAGTCGGCGATCATAATCGTTTGTATGTTACCCGCAGGGAATGAATCACCCGACCAGTCGATAATCACGGCAAAACTAATGGCGACATCCCCATTCTGGATGCATTCGAGCGGGGGGAGGGGGGGCTCAACGACTCGACAACGATCGCATCAATTTCATTGTCTAATTCGTGTTGTGCTTTGCTAATATTTCTCACGCGATTTATATGCCTAATGCTCTAGTTCACGCTGCTAAAATATTGCCGGTACATTCGCGACAAGATCCAATGATTCAAGTATGTAGTAAAGATAATAGAAAATATAAATAATCTATTTAAACGATACATTCTTAATGTTTAATTATTAATTATGTCTCCGACAATGGCAAAATAACATCCTCAAAAACAGATTAGTGGCAAAGTCCCATTGAGAAGCAGCAGCTTATGCTGCCGTTTTATCATTCCCTCCGTACGATGGTTGTCGCGGTAACCGTCGGGTGGCGCTTCCATCGCGATTGTGATACACCCCCGCGCTAGAGGCAGAGAAAGTGATCCCGTGCTTGCAGAAGTTTGCGCGCTTCTTGCACAGCTGACGCTTACGAGAAGAGGTATTTGCTTTTTCTAATGGAGGTTCAGTTTTAGTTGTCCAGCTATTCCTACAGATTTATCAAGTTAAAAGGATATAATATTCATTGACAGCGATTACTTCTCAATGGCTTGTGATGTTGTTTAATCGTGTGTTTATAATGATAATAATTTTGCACAAATATACCTATGTATCTTTCAACTCGATCGATCTGTTAGCTTTCATTTACTGCTCCCAAGTGTTTTCTACTTAAGACTTGATTGATTTTCCTTTTAAAGGCATTAAATAATTATAAAACATTGCAAAGTATTGTGGTGCACGTCAGTATGCGTTGCTATACCGTGACATTTATTAGGCAGCTTCGTTTCGAGTCCAATGCAATGTTTTGAAAAGTAGGGTAATGATATTATGACAAAATTAACAAAACAGGGCTTAAAGAAATAAAGAAGACGATTTTTATTCAAGTCCTGCAGTGTAAAAGATACTTTGAATTAGAATTTTAAATTTAAATTGTCTTCCCTAACGAGAATTTATTTAATATAAGCTGTACGTTAAGATAAGATTTCGTTAGAAAAAAAGAATGATGGTAGAAAAGAAAGAAAAAGAGAATAAAAATATTAACAAGCAAAGAGGGAAGAAAAAAATAAAGGTAAAAGAGTCACAAGTTGATGAGAGAGTGAGGGAGAACTGCAGTCGAAAGCGTCCTTATGTCTAAAGGTGCCAAGAATCTTCTTTGATAGAAAGAGCTGTAGTATTGTAACAGGGAGAGGGGAGGTTGAGTGGGAGAGAGACAGAAAGGAAGTAAGGGAAGATACTCACTAGAAAGCCCTTCTTCAAGTATTTGAGACTTTGTCAGCGTTCCTTCGTTGACTAGAGCGAACAAGTATGAACGGTCTTACTTGTATCTCGTCTTGTTCACAATATAAGTATATAATGCGCTCTCTCGCACACTCTTGTACACAATACACGTACTTTTATACTAAGAAATGAAGAACAATGAAAAAAATAGATGAGGGAGAGAGAGAGATATAGATATATAGATAGATAGAGAGAGAGAGAGAGAGAGAGAGAGAGAGAGAGAGAGAGAGAGAGGAGAGCACAAAGGAGTGAAAACGAAAGAATCGAGGTCGGGGGCAAGTACTTACTGCAATATTGACAAAAATTATTCACAGCTTGTTTGAAATGTCATTTGCATGTTCATTTATTTAATTGCTCGAAACCTACCGCATCGTGGCTTTTGTCATTTAGTGAAAAAGACGAAATACAGAAAAAACAAAAAAAAGAAGCGCAAACTGTTTTGGGTACTTATACAAAACTAGTGCACAGCTCACATGTTCAACTTCGTATGGCTCTTATGAAATGAACACAATAAATAGCTTTTTTTGTAATAAAATTTTTATAAAATTGCTATGATGCGAATAAGCCTTTTAGAGGAATTTTAACTAATATCTTAATATAAAATATATCAGTCCCTATAAATTCCAAATTATTTATCAAGTAGCACTAAAAAGTAATCAAAATAAAAATTGGGCTATAGAAAATAATTGAGTAAGTGTAGTAGAGGTTGGGCTCAGAGGCATAAAACTCGCCATTTTAAAACGATAACAATTTGAAGTATCGTGCTACTACACAACTCATACAATCCTATTTTCAATGTGCGCTTGTTAAAAACAAAAAAACAAAAAAAAAAAACAAAAAAAGCGAAAAAGGAAACGGTAAATATTGCTTTTTTATCATTTTTTTTTCTCGGGCTCCGTCGCACTTGTGAATCATTTATCTTACTCTGCCATTTGCCCGAATTATTATGAGAATAAAAATAGTCTAAGTTAAAATTATTAGAAATTTTATTTGTTTTCGGTAAAAATTATTTCTCAATTTATAAAATAATGTACATTTATTCATACAAATGATTCTGATGTAACAATATTAATTGCCATCGTTATTTTCCGTACTACATAAAATATGCTAACTATCAACATCAATGTTTTTATTTGGAACACAACGCGAAAGCGTTTTAAACTAAAATAAATTGATTGTCGATACGTATCTAATGAAAATCATAAAATACATTTATGGAAAATCTTAGATATCCTTTATAAGACACATTGAGCAAATGGCTTTTTATACCTCAATAGAACGAGCATCTGCACCACAGAGGAAGTGAATAAAATTTTACTGTTTTCTTAAATCAATAAATTTTATACACACTTTCAAATTTGATAATCGATGCTTATTAATGAAATTGAAAGTAAACGGATGTTTCAAATAAACTAATTAAATGAAGATAAAGGAAAAATAATGAGTAAATACTTCATCACAGGAAGTTCTTCAAATTAAGCTCGATCGAAATTTTTGCTACATCGATCAAAAACGCTCGGATAAAGCATACACCGTAATAAATTGAAGAGCCCGTCCCCCCTGCCCCCCAATTCTTCCATAGCAATCATCCATCGTCAATAACCCTAGTATTTGACTTAGAAGGGCCGCCCAATGTAAGAAAGGAGTGGTGCACTGACCTCCGTTGGCCTTGAGGTCGTCCGGCTGTCCCCGATGATGTTCGGGTTTAGCAAGCATGTTGAGGGGGTGGGATGAACCAGCGGGCGCAGCCGCAGCACCCGGAGGTAGTCCGAGGCTCAGGAGGGCGGCCGAGGCGGAGGTCGGTACTGGGAGTCCGGCTCCGGGACCCAGGCCCGGAAGTCCCGGTAGACCCGGATGCGGACCCATGGCTGTACCAGGTGGCAGCTGCTGAGCATGCATCTGTTGCAATAGCCTCGGCAGATCCGGCCTCTGTTGCTGGAAGGAAATTTTCACCAGGGTTAAAGGAGAACCTCGGCTTATACGTAACGCGCAACTCTTGCGCGTTGAATCATTCCGCCTATTGTTCGCTTCGCGCTACCCTACCAGTGCCGCCGCCTGCTTTTTATGACAGTATGCTGGACTAGTGAAGCGATAAGGAAAACCGAGCCTTCTCTATCGTACTCAAGCGCTTATAATCTTTTATCGCGTAACAGCAGGTTTAAGGCGAAGAGCTTATTACGAGTAGCCGGGATTAAGTAAGCACAGGGCTTCGCTACTTCGCTTACAATCAATGTTTCATGGTATAGCGAACCAACATCAACTTTATTAATACAAGTAATTACTTTCAAAACTATTATATTACAAAGAGAACAAAACTATTTGCCTGATAAGGAATTGCATCATTTTGTCAAAAGGCGCTGTACGTATGTATGTTGCCTCAGTTACGCATGAGTGAATATCTGTAATTGTGGGTTAAGAGAGTGATAATTAAAGAATATTGCATTTTAGGCATTCTTTATTATAAGTGAAAGAATAAAATTGCCGATTATATTTCCTTAAATTGCAGTGTTTCTTTCTCCTTATGTCGCCGCGCAATCATGAAATTACAGTGTAAATATTGGACTTCGAAGCGGTATTTCAATACTGGTAAGATAAGCAGTGGAATTATTTTAATGAAATTTTAAAAAGCATATTATGTAGATAGAAAAATAAATGTGAATCTTCAGTATTTTTATAAAAGTGAAATGGTATTCCGTTGATATATGACCGCATTGCAGGAAAAGTTAATTTTGGCACAATGATACGAGTAAATATTCATACGGCGCTAGTTTTATATTTGTCGACTCACTGTGTACCGTCGTCGGTGACTACTGACAGCTTTGAATGTTTTTTGATTCCAAATATTCGCGTGTTAGATATTTTATTTTTATACAGAAAAAATCTATGAATGAGAAGGATACTATACACTACTGTCATCGATTCGCCCATCTGGGAAAATGAACGAGCTCTTTTTTGTACCTATACCAGATCCACTTTTAACAATATAAACTGAAAATGAATTTGTTTGCAAAAACGTATTTAATAGAACAATAGCAGAAATAAGATAAATTGATACGCAGTCATCTATGATAGAGATATATTTGTCATTGAAAAAGCGTTAAAAATTAAAAAAATATTTATAAAATTTACGACCATTGCTCAGACGAAATAACCCTCGGACGGCTTAAAAAAAAAGTAATCTTCTTTCCAAATGCGCGTACTCGTATACCAATGTGCAGAAAATGCATAAAGCAAATTGAAAGGATGAGCAAAAGCGAGATGAGGGGATAGTGAGTGCGTGTGTCTATAAAGCACGAATAAATAAATAGGTACATAGGGACGTTGGAAATATTTAGAAACGATTCAAAAAAGCACGAGGGCTGAAGTCCTCTTCTCTTTGCGGGCAAAGTTATGTAGATTGCAAAATTCCACACAGTGAGCTCGTTCGATCTCACTCTCTCTCTCTCTCTCTCTCTCTCTCTCTCTCTCTATCTATCTATCTCTCTATCTCTCACTCCTTCTCTTTTTCTCTCTCTTTGTGGCTGGCCTTTGCTCGTGTTAATTCCGGTTCACAGGGTCACGTGCAATGGGCCTGTCTTTTTCCCCTCCGTTTCAGTCCACCTTTAATTTCCCTCGCCCTCCCGCACTGTCCTTTTTCGCCGCGCATTACCCTCTTGCCCGCAAATAAAATTATTTATTCGCTCATTCGCCGCCAATCCTTATACATGTGTCCCAGGCTCCGCTTTTTCGGACGTGCGCGTACTCGCGATTTCATTTATTTACTCGCGGAGGGAGCACGTTCGCTAAACAGAAGCTAACGAATCCTTTCCCCGTGAGTTTCGTGCGTGGGTGTTTGTACGCTCAGCCTGGTGAAAAAGGTGGACTAAAGGGTGTGGAGGGCTGAGCTTTCGTTTGCAAGCTTTTTATGCGAACCGGATCCCAGCCTCCTCGACGATATTCCTTTTATTTTTCAACATAATCGTGCTTTTTTCTGGCGGTTCCGGTTCTCGGTTGATATTACCATATGAAATATGTACATGAAACTTTTTTCTCAAAATGCTTAAAAATTCAGATTACTTTTTCTTTGTTGCGCTTATGTATGTTAATTTTTTCGTAGATACATCAGAGATGACGAATAATAATAATTGTTTACTTTGCAAAACAATTCATTTTCTTTAAATTACAATAAAGAACTTTAACTCTTATATCGATTTGGACAGACAGAGAAAGTACCAGCGACTTTAGATATAATGAACACGCGAGAACAATCCTTGCAAATAAATTATCGATATTTACTTCTCAAATTACCGTTGAACTTTAAAGAAAGTAAATTCAAGCGACAGATGTGATTCTTTGAAGAGATACGATTAAAACGATTAGCAACATCAAACAAAATGAATATAAAGCCGACTTGCCTCATTTTATACCGAAGATCAATTTTTTAACCGGCAATAACATAAGCAAAAACAATAATCGCACTTTGAAAACATAATGTGCGTATTCTCCTAATGTCAAAACAAATACGGGCGAATTCACCGAAGAATAAAGAGCGACTGAAGGAGCGATAAAAATTGCGCCGAAAGCTCGGAAAGGTAGGCGGGTTTCCATAAATCAGGTTGGCTATACTTCGTCCTACAGGTGAAAAGGATCGAGAGGTTTGACCAGCGTAAAAAGACAGAAGATATCCGTCCTCCCCTTTCTCGCGTGCCGTCAAGAGGCAGAGAAGCCACGCACGATGTAATTTTCATTTAGACGAGCCGATTGAGAGCCACGCGGGGCATCGTTTGCGCGTAATTGCATAACCTTGCTGGGAAATTATGTGCGACAGGTAGTGGCGAGCCGGCGCTCGCCTGCTGCAAAACAAATCGTAAAGTGGTTCGTCCGCGCGCTTTAGCTGCGGCTGCCGTTGCCGCGGGTCGAGATAATGCCAAGCTGCTTCGGGAGTTACCGGTGGTGGTAGACGGATAAGGAGAGGGTGATGAAGAGGGCGGAATATTCCCGGGGAGTAGTTTGCCGAGATAATTAAATGGCTTAACGATATAATAACCCCGCACCACGACGAGCGGCTAATCCACTCCTCCCCCTCCCCATGCCTCTCCTCGCGCCCGTGTATGAGTAAGCGTGTCCATGTTTTTTAGTGAAACATCGTTTCGACGTTCTTGTGCAGTTTTTATTTCGCGCGTTCATCTATGTATATATTCCTCAAACTACTTGATTTTTCTTCTCTTTTTCTGTCTTCTCGTTTGGTTAATTATAAGCTCAACTTAAATGCTAGATTCGATATGTGAATGTTCTTGGCGATCTATTTTTTAATATTTTATAAGCCTAACTAAGTATAAGATGAATGCCACTCATACCGTAAATTAATAAGCACTCTGTAAAGTATAATTTTTAAACTTCGCTATCAGCTCTGTAATTAATTATATAATTGTAAAAGAAAATAAATCCTTAAATTAAATCCCATTTGTTGTGAATAAATGATATAGTATTAATGTAGATAATACCAAAGGCATATTTTTTTTAACTAATCGTATTATTTTTACATTCTTCACTAACGTTACATGATTGAACAAAAAAAAAAAAAAAATAAATGAAAAAAATTAAATTTCATCCAATTTCATTTAAACGAATGTGTGATATGGCAAATATCATATTATTAACGAGAATATGTTGAACTTAAAAAAATTTTTTTTCCCTCGAGAATTCTTTTATTTTACAAAATATCAAAATACCCACTTACGTTATAATACACATACAATTTTTTTCAGGTTTTTAAAATTGCTTTTAACGCTGCTATTATGTGTTATTTTGATGCCAAAATCAGGTATAATTTAAAAAAATAATACGAATATCCAATCTATTTGTAAAATGATGCATTGATTATAATATATGCTGTAAACTTAAGAAAAAATAGTAGCAGTAAAGTACTTCGAAGAAAACATGTACCGTGTAACACGTATATTTATATCATTTATTAGTTTATTTTTATTATTCATGTATATCTCGTTTTTCATTTGTCCCCGTACATTTATTAGCATAAACGTATATATTTTCTTTACAAAACAGGCATTAATCAAGCCTACGCTGCTCGAATAAGGCAAAGAAAAGAAATAAACTTGAAAATCCAATACAAAAGTTATTTAATTATCATTCCCGACAATGTATACTAAATTCCAATTATGAATGATTTTGTAATCACTACGAAATTATCTGCCCATCTTATAATCAGCGAGGAAAATTCGCGACGTGACGCAAACTTTATCATCATTTATAATGAATCCTGAGAACTACTCGACCCTACTGCGTGGCACACAAATCCCCGTAATCCTCTTAATAAACCCCAAACCCTTCGGCGACGCCACTAATTTGTATTCTACACTCCTACGGCGTAGCGTCGATAACGATCATAACGAGGTACCGTTAAAAACGCAACAATCGTCACCCACTTAATCGTATCACATTAATGAGCAATAAAAAGAGCCAATGAGCCGCAAAAGGCGAACTGGCTCTGAAATATTATCTGTCGCGGTATTATGCGCAGTAATGCCATCATGACGAGCGATGTACCAGCGATTCGAAGGGGCAAGTGGCCGTTGATGCGCAAAGTATAATTAAGTCCGACGGAAGAATTGCGAGCCGTGTAATTCCTCTCACTAGCTGCTGCCCCGATCGCTCAATTGTCCTGTGCGATAATTGAGCCCATTGCTTTCATTCTCTTTCGTTTTCTTTCACCAGGGCACGTGTGCGATATCGTTCACGAGTCGTCCCGAACTCGGAGTCGGTGGAAAATTATACGAGGAACGCTGATGCTTTGATCTGTTTATTATGTGTTTGTGGGAGCACCACTCTTTTTTTATTTTTTTTTATTTTACCCTCTCTCTCTCTCTCTCTCTCTCTCTCTTTCGACAGCTACGGAAAATTAAGCTCGGCAAACTTATTAATCATGCATCACGCTT